CTCTCTCTCTCTCTCTCTCTCTCTCTCTCTCTCTCTCTCTCTCTCTCCCTCCCCTCCCTCCCTCCCCGTCCCTCGCTGCCACCACAAGACCTGATTGCGTATCTTGAATATCCTTTTGAGGATATTCCCTTCTCATTCCCATATTCCCAGATGTTTGCACACATGGATGCCTTCACACACACACAAAGGCACCATTTTATCTTTGACCCTAAAGCAGACTCTTTTTCTTTTTTCCTCTTACTGTAATATTATTGTAATGCTGTAATGTTGTTGCTTTGACACTAAAATAATCAAACCAGCAGGAGAACAGTCTGAACCGCAGTTCTTACCTTCCTCTGTAAGTCCATAGAAACTTTGCTAAGGAGGAAGAACTGATAGTTTAGCTTCATACAACAAAGGAACAAATATATTTTTAAAATCAAAGGAAGAGAAAGGAAGCTTTACAATACTGTGGGCTTGGGGTAGGAAAGCAAGAGGAACTTGCTTCATCTAGCCCAGGACAAATCAAAAGGGTGCCTATTTAGGATATGTAAGAGTTGAATGGAACATGGGCTTCTAGAGTTGAGACAGCTCCTTGATTTAACAGGCCATTGTTGGATCAAGTGCAATTCTTAGAATCCAAATTGGAAAACATACAATGGGTTGGGAGTGGGAGAAAGATGATGTCATCAGTTCCTGTAGTCAGGAAGTGGTGGGTAGTTCAATGGGCCAAGCAAAAAGTGCAGAATCTGCCCCAACTCTACTCCAGTACTTCTAATATTGGAAAACAGCAATATTTTATTCTATTATTCTTCTCTTACTAATATATCTCCAATATTTTAAAAGAAAAATGTTCCTTCCAGTAGCTGACTTCCTTGTAATGGTTGATTTCATCCCAAGCTGTTCTCTGCTGGATATTTTCTAGTTTGTTACTGTTCTTCTTAACATGTGACACCTGAATAAATAGTGCTCTAATTTCAGCTTCACCAGCACAAAATAGAGCAATTCTCACCCTCCAAATGTTGCCAAATGATGTCAGGCTCATGCAAGCAATTACTTATTCAATGTGACCATTGACCAATATTTATGCCACATATAGTAGTTCTAGTTCCTAAATGTAGGCACTTTTATTAATTTATATTGAATTTCATTACATTGTTCCAACCTATTGAAATGGTTTCAGATTTTGATTATATCTTCTGTGCTATTACACTTCCCACCTCCCACTTCCTGTCATTTCCAGTCAAACATTATATCCAGAACTTGTAAACTAGTAGAGCCATTGACTGAGAAAAAAGCTTGATTAATGACAGATCAAATGTTGATGAATGAAGCAAATCAAAGAGCACTGACATTATAGAGAAGTACTTCTAGTCAAAAATACTAAAAAAAAAAACTCCCAACACACAGCATCCTGCCTAAGAAAATGTTCCAGAGGAATAATCATGTTATTCTCTTAGAGCAAAAACACATCTATCTTGTGGCATCTCAAAAACAAAGCAATATACAGTATAAGTTTGAAGTTTTGAAAACTGAATATTCCTGCCTACAAATATACAGTAATTTTTTTTCCAGATACAGAGGCACACAAAGCCAGGGATACACACCTATCAACTCTGCCGGGCTGCCCAATCTCAAAACACCAACTAAAAGGAGAATCAATCTCTTGGCTGCACAATCTTTTCTTCATGCAATCGCCCAGTGCGTCTTTTGAGTTTGCTTCTGAGATAATGCCCAGTACAGGCTCTGACTGCATTTTATATTCTCCAGGTTAATTCCTGGCTGATCTACTGTTTATATAATTGCATTAATTGCTCTTCTAATCTCAGTAATATCTACTGCAGGATTCATACAGGATTCATTCCAAGGAAATGGAATTGGAAGAAAGTATCTCTGCCTGGCAACTGAACTGTAGTTATCATGAATTACTTTAACATTAATTCTTTATTCGCCATAAAACTGAAATACATATATCTGAGTCTATGTACATGCTGGAATTAGGACTGAACCTGCCTTTTGTCATGCCCAACTTTCATGCAAAGGCTTTATTGTACAGCTGAGCTTATACAACTTGGCTGATCAAGTGCAGAGCTCTCTGCCAGCTCAAAAGCCACTCTGGAATTCTGGGATTTAACGTCAGTTGAGGTTGGCAGCTAAGTTGATTTATTCCTGGCTCAGCTTTGGTGCAAGCCAAATTGCAAAAGAAGGTCAACTATCTTTTCACAAGGGTGAAGTTCTGAAAGTTGGGGAAGTCTATTTCCCATTTTTGCCTCACCCATCCTTCTGGCAGGTGTTTTAATGGGAATGCTGGGTTGCTTTAGCACAGGTGAAAAGTTCCAGGTGGCAAATGGTGCAGGAGAGCAAGCAGGCTTGCAAACTGGGTCTTTATGTATTTCTTTTCCTTTTGTGCAGAATGGATGAAGAGATTTTGGTTACTCAAGTATGAAACTATTCCTATAATGAGTCCCAGTTCATGGAGCCTAAGAAGAACCTTGGACAGGGCACAAAATACTGTAAATGGCACCACTTCTAGGCTCCTATTGGTCAAATGAAGGGACAGCACTGATTGGCATACTATATTCTCAGTATTCCTTGGTTAACATGAGTGAAGAATATAGGTATGTCTTTTCAGACTGCTTGGGAGGGATTGGAAAATGGAAACAGTGCCCTGTAGAAGTGCTCATAGACTCTTGCATAGACATCATCTCCAGTATAAGGAAGTTGGTTTCAGTGAGGGAGTAATGGAGTCAAAATCCTGACTCCTCCCCAAACAAACTCACACCATGAATACAACCGAAAACTAGACATAATTTTCTGCAGTTTAGCAATATAGTAAATTCATCTGATCACAGGGAATTGGAGTGATTCCATTCTTCAGCCCATAACTCTCATAGCCTTTTATAATAGATTTTTTAAAACATGAGAAAGGTAAATTAAATGTGTGAAACCAGCACTAATTACTTCCTATCATATCCCCCCTGCCAATTGCTTAGCAAGCATGCTATGTAGAGTATGACTATTACAATCTTATAAACTCAGAAATACAATACAAAGGAGATGGATAGAGTATGGGAAGGGAGGGGGAGAGGAAAAAAGGAGAGAGGAAGATTGTATAATAAGTAGGAAATAAACAAAGGCACATTCTTAGAAAATATTGGTCAGCTCTCCTATCTAATTCAATAGAACACCCAGTAAATTTATATGTAATAACTGTGGGACAGCAATCTAAGCTAAATATAATTGTGACATCAGTAAAAATATTCTGCTGCCTTACTTTCCAACACAATTATAGGGTATTATTAGACTGATTTCTGGCAATGTATATTACCATATGCATTGCCAGAAATCAGTCTAATAATAGGAATACTGGGTTGTTCAATAATGAAGATTATAGTTTTTATCTTTTTTTAAAAGCGTGTCAGTATTGTGCACATGATCTTAGTTATTTTCATTAGCATTTATTCCAAGATAATTTGCAAAGTTAAGTTGCTCTATTGATGGCCACTCTCACATTAGTTTCAGATTTATTTGTTTATTTAATATAGCTATCCATCTCACTTGCAGATACTAGCAAGATGCATACATAAGTGATATTATTAGCTGTATTGGATTAAAAGAAGCCAGGTGTACTCCCCCTGAGTACCTGAAGCCCTTTGCAGAAATCATTTGAACATTATAAAAGTAAATATCCATAACAATGAGAAATGGCCTCTATTATTTATGTGGCATTTACGATCATTCAATATGTCATTCATACCACCTCAGCTGCAAATTTCTAGTTTTCTGTACTAAAGAATTATAAGTCCATTTTCTATGAGATGAACTCTCATGGTTAGCAAAAAGAAGCAAGATTCCAACATACAGCAACATTATTCTTGGCTGTGACACTACATTTTTTGTGTATGCAATTTTGCCTTGCTCCAGATTGTCTCACAACTCCCTTCTGGAAAAGTTTTGTTCAGGACCTACACCAGTGTGATCAATCAGTTCTATATTTAATCTTGCTATGACTGGATTCATACATTGCACTAAATCATAATGGTGTTTATCTGGTTTTGGCTTAGAGTATTGGATAGGCCCAGGCATTGTGGTGCATAAACCATGTTCTATGTATGCAGCCCATTATGATTTAATCAATAAACCATTGCTAAGCAAACCAGAGCTTAGTATGATGAACCTAATTCAAATCTATCTAATGTTGACTATCTCTTAAATTAATGACTTCTCCAAGAGTCACTAAACTCTGAAAGTGCCAACCAATGACAGCTGGTCCTTGTCATTTAACTGTGAATCATTCATCTCTAACCTTTCTTTTAACCAAAACAACCTGCTCACTGACATCAGTCATTTACACTTTCATGAAATGGAAGCTACCATTTCTATATTGCTATCAAATGAGTAATCCCCTCCATTCAAAATAACAAGCACTCGATGTGCCCCAGTGATAAATAATGCTATGGAAAATGCAAAAGATTACTATTAAAAATCAGGCAATTTAAAGATCTCACAAATGTTGCATAAATGTAAAATTATTACTGAAAAAAAATAAGCATTTTTGCTTTTGTTTCTGGTAAAGAATTAGATCTGAGTAGGAAGTGGGAAACATGTCTACGGGATCATGTGTTAAGGGGATGCAAATCCAGTAAGTTGGCAGGAAGCAGAATCTTACCTAGAGATCCTCGGAAGCAGTTAGAAAGACCAGCTGCCAAAGGACTCTGGTTTTATCTACCATTAGCATTGGCACAGGCATAGAAATTGTTATACTTGTTGCTTGCACTGCAGAGGTGAATTTTCAAATATTGTTTTTGAACACCTGCAATTAACTGAAATTGCTATTTTCCAAGATTAGCTGCAACATTATGTGCTTACGCCTTCATTTATAGGGTAATGATTATGAACTTCAGTATTGCACTCCATAAAAATCAGTTTAGATTTTCAAATTATTATAAAAAATGTGTTATTGAATATTATCATAATTTATCTTTCAAAGACAGTTTCTTTACCTGTAATTCTTCCAGTCGCATATATGAGTTCTGCCTTTGTCCAGAGCTCCATTGGAAATCTTGTAAAGTAAGACTAGAATTTGGGGAGAATCATACTTCCATGTGGCCATGGTTCTTATTCCTACTTAGTTCTAGTTCTAATCATTACAGGTGCTCACAATGGAAGCAAAATCAAAAGCAATGCTACAATGATGGATATGTGACTACGCAAATGACTTGATGAACTACAGTTACAGATAAGCATTCTGCATTCCCTGTCCTGAGATACTGTTCTTTGGCAATTAAAAGAAAGCTGAATTGGAAGATGAGAGAAGCACACCAGTCTGAGTGTGGAGGGCAGGGGCAGACACTCACTGGAGGATCTCAGTGCTTTCATTTACATATTTTACAAACCTGTCACTTGCTTAAGTTCCCTGGATTGCCTATAACCACCAGACAATTGCACATGCATGCATGTTGTAAAAAGTCTTGATGGGAATATCACAAGCACTTGATTAGCATTCTTTTTTGTGTGATGAGTGGAAGTGCTAAATGATATGGAAATACCCTAATTTAGCAATATGTAGAAAGACAGCTACCAATTTTCATCCTAGATTATACATATGCTTTTGAACTTTCAGTTGATGATAAAAATCCCAGAAGTAAAATAATGCTTATAGGATATCTTACAGGCAAGTAATATCCTTGCTTTGGACTGGGGACCCGGGAGGTCCAGGTGGGGAGGTATTTGGGCCCAGAACCCCCGGGGACTATGAGGTGGGCTACACCATCAAGGTGGTGACAGGCAGGGGACGTTATGGCGGGAGCTGGAGGGCGGGCCATCTTCGAGGAAGACGCCCCCAGTACGTCTCACCGGTGGTGTGTTCCGGCCCTCCTGGCTCATTCCCAGGTCCTAGTCGGCAGGTTCGTAGGGGCCCTGGCTTCCGGCTGTTGGTGCTTTATGCCCTGGT